GTCATCTTTGTTTGGATACTGATATTGGGCGTGAAGACAAAGGCTGCCTGTGACTACAAAGTGTTGAGGTTGGAGAGAGAGATCACGAGGTCAGAACAAGGATCAATTTTTGCTTCACATGAAAGAGCTGAGTTAATAGGGATTGTACAATGTTTAAGTCAGTGCAAAATCTGGGTTAGGTGTTTCTCAAACTTGCTGCTTTCTGACAAGGAAGGAGTTGGAGACCATCCCTACCACCTAATTCAGAATGGCTTAAAGTTAGGAGCAGGAAGCAAAGAAATGGCTTATCTAATTGAATGGGAAGGGGGTTAGGTAACGAGTCTTGACATAGACAGAAAAAAAAAAAAAAAGGAATATAGGAGCACTCAGTCTAGTACTACTCTGTAAAATTACTAAACAGGGGAATGAGCTGGGGGAAGTAGTGCATGAAATTCTCTGAAATCATCATCAGAGCGCAGATAAGCGGTTTAAAAAAATGGGCCATGGGATAATATCCTTTACACAGGAATATATAGAATGGTCCCTTAAGGTGGCAGCACGCGCTTTTTTGATTAACAGTTTTTAAAAGGAGTTAATTTTTTATTTGTAGGAGGAAAAAATGAAGCGGGCTAAAACCAAGCCCTGAAAAGGCTTGTTTTATGAGGAGACATTTAAAAGAATGGGCTTGTCAGCTTAGAAAAGAGATGACTGAGGCAGGCTATGATAAGGGACTCTAAAATCATGAATGGTGTGGAGAAAGTGATAAACGACACTTCTGTATTCCCTTCACATAATACAAGAACCAAGGGTCACCTGATGGAAATTAATAGGCAGAAGGTTTAAAACAAATGTACAGAAGTACTTCACACAACACAGTCAACTTGTGGAACTTGTTGCCAAAGGATGTTGTGAATTCCAAAAGTATAACTGGGTTCAAAAAAGAATTAGATAAGTTCGTGGAGGATAACCATCTTGGTTAATCGTCAATCAGTGGCGATTAACCAAGATGGTCAGGGAAACAGCCCCATGCTCTGGGTGTCCCTAAACCTCAGACTGCCAGAAGCTGAGACTGGATGACAGGGAATGGCTCATTCAATAACTGCCCTGTTCTGTTCATTCCCCCTGAGCATCTGGCACCAGCCACTGTCAGAAGACTGGATACTGGGCCAGATGGACCATTGGTCTGACCCAGTATGGCCATTCTTATGTTTGTAATGCTGCTTATTAGAAGGTAGTACCGCATGAGAGACAGTCTGCAGAGGCTAAGGTACAGGACTGGAAGTTGGGAGATCTGTATTCTGTTCCTGGCTCATCGCCAATTTGTTCTGTGGCCTTGGACAAGTCAGATACAAACAAGTGGTTATTACTGTAATTTAGGGTTGCCAGGCATCCGGTTTTCAACCAGGGAGCACCCGGTCAAAAAGGGATCCTGGCAGCTCCGGTCAGCACCATAAGTGGGCTGTTAAAAGTTCGGTCGGTAGCCTAGCAGGGCTAAGGCAGGATTCCTGGCTCTGCGTGGCTCCTGGAAGTGGCTGGCATTTTCCTCCGGCTCCTAGGCAAAGGCATGGCCATGGGGCTCCTCGTGCTGCCCCTACCTCAAGTGCTGGCTTGAACAGCATGGCGGGAACAGTGGCCAATGGGAGCTGCAGGGGTGGCATGTGCGGCCGGGGGCAGCATGCAGAGCTGCCTGCCTGTGCCTCCGCCTAGGAGCTGGAGGGAAATGCCATCCGCTTCCGGGAGCTACTTGAGGTAAGCACTGCCCGGAGCCTGCAGTCCCTCCCGTGCCCAAGTCCTGAGCCCCCTCTCACACTCAAACTCCCTCCCAGAGCCCACACCCCAACCTGCTGCCCCAGTCCTGAGCCCCCTCCTACACCCAAACTCCCTCCCAGAACCTGCACTCTCTCTTGTGCTCCGAACCCCCCAGCCTAGAGTCCCCTCCTGCATCCCAAACCCCTTATCCCCGGCCCCACACCAGAGCCTGCACCCCCAGCTGGAGCCCTCACTCCCCCACGCTCCAACCCTCTGCCCCAGCCCAGAGCACCCCCACCCACTCCAAACCCCTCATTTCTGGCCCCACCCTGGAGCCTGCAACCCCAGCCAGAGCCCTCACCTCTCCTGCACCCCAACCCCTGCCCATCCCAGTGAAATTGAGTGAGCGAGCGAGGGTGGGGGAGAACGAGCAACAGAAGGAGGGGGGGATGGAGTGAACAGAGGCGGGGCTTTAGATAGGGGTGGGGCATCAGGGTGGGGTGGGGCAGGGGGCAAGGGTGTTGAGTTTTCTGCAATTGGAAAGTTGGCAACCCTACTGTAATTCATGGGGTTCTGGTCTATGATTGAGGCTAGTAGTGCACTAGGTGCCATAAGAACCAGAATAAAAAGATCCCTGCCCCACAGAGTTTATAATCTAATATGGATACTTACAGACAGACTGAGGGAATACAAGGAAACAATGAGACCATATTGGTCAGTGTGGCAGGCTGCTGGTGTGCTGAGACCACTGCCTAATTGTAGTCAAGTTTTTTGTAGGCATGACAGCAAATGATGAATTTGAAGGAGGATAATCAGGTAGGTTTGTGGACATTTATGGGGATCTCCTCCCAAACATGAAGGGAGGAGCATGGGAGGAAGGCATGAAGGTGCTTGTTTGAAAATACAATAATTGCACAATGGAGGCTACACTTATTGACCTATCAGGCGTGGAATTTGACACTGAATGAAACATGATGGCTAGGGTGGGGATAGGCTGTAAAGGGCCTTGAGAGTGACAATAAGCGGCTTATGTTTTTGGTGCGGTAGAGGCAGAAGCTAGTGGAGGGATGCAAAGGGGGAGGTGATGTGGTCAAATCAAAGGGCTACGAGTGATTTTTTTTTTTTAATTTTTTTTTTTTTTTAAGCAGCATTGTGAATGGGTATAAGTGGAGCAAGATTGTATTTGTCAAGGCCAGAGAGAAGGATGTTGCAGTATTTGAGATGCAAGATAAGAGCCTGGGTGAGCGTTTTAGCTGCATTGATGGATCGGAAAGGTGGTATTTTAGAGAGATTATTTTGGCATAACCCACAAGACTTAGATATATGTAGCCCAAGGTCCAGTGTGCTTCAACAGCAGCCCTGGGAACTACAAGTTGTGGACCACAAACTGCAGCATGTTGGGAGAACATCCTGGTTCCTGCCAGGATGTACCCTCTGTTCCCCCAGCAGGAGTTCTCAGCACTGACTGAGCTGGGAGCACATAGCAAGCAAGCAGAGAGGAGCTGCTGGACTGTAATCCTGTTCTATGTTCTTTACAGAATAAAGCCTTGTTCCTGGTGGCTTATCTGAGTGGGTGAACACACACTGACACACAATACAGAGCACAAAGGAGCCTAAGGTCCAGTTTCCAAAAGTTGTGTAAAAAGTCACAAGACAGGCTTCCCCTATCTTGAACAACCTCATACTGGACAAGTGAACAGGAGAAGGGGCATGTATAGCCTGGATGTGACAACGTAGAAAGAGGTTTGAGTCAAAGATGATGTCCAGGTTACATGCCTGTGTTGTGGTGGTGTCCACTGTAATTGCAAGAGGACCTGGGAAGGCTTGCATTGATCATCTACAAGAAGATGTAGGGGAGAGAGTGAGAGGCGCTGAGATTTTGGTTTGGACAGAAAGAGCCTGGAGTAGAGAGGTAGATCTGCACATCATCAGCATGTGGAGATGGTAGTTGAATTTGTGTTGTGCAGATGAGATTAGAGAGAGGGGGAGAGGGAGAAGCGGACCAAGGACAAAGCCATCTATAACCCCAGCAGAAATCTGGGCGAGAAGGAGTATCCTCCAAGGACATGCTAAAGAAGTGATTAGAGAGGCAGGAGAACTAGCATAGTACAGAGTCACGGAACCCAAGGGAGAGCAAGATTTAAAGAAGGAGAGCATGGTCAACTGTCATCAAGGAGGATGAGGATGGAGTACTGGTTCTGAGCATTGGCTAGGAAGAGGTCATTAGATTTAGTTTCTCTGCTGCAAAATGGGGATATGATGCTAACCATCTCAAAGTACTCTGAGATTTAAAGAGGAAAACACTATAATTATTATTTTAGGCCCTGATCTTGCAAACATTTATTTACATCCTTTTCTTTATTCAAATGAGTATTCCCCTTGAAATTAATGGGATTATTTATATGCATAAGTATTTCAATATCTGGGCCTTAAACCCAATGTACATTTATTTTCAAGCACATCTGTTGCTCTCTGCCTTTTATTGTTGCAAACTCTTTGTATCAACATTCCAGACTCACAAGTCCGAGAGTCTGGGGATGAGACGGCTCAGATCCATTCATCATTAGAGTACCTAGCACTAGCCACAGCTGATGGTCAGGCCTGATCCTGTGAAGTGCTTAGAGCCTCTTCAGAGGTATTCACAGAGAACTGAGTGGATTCAGCACATCTCTGAGAGATGTTTTCCCCCAGGACAAGCTTAAGGCACACATGTGGAATGGCAAAGAGGGAACATGCACTGCCACTGCCGAGCCATGTGGCTAGCCAGAGAATCTCATTCTCTAGTTGCACTATCGAGCAGATAGCCTTTGCCAGTACTAAATTTGCTTAGCATTAATGAAAGCTGTAGGTGATGCTTCCTGAAATCAAGACTTTTTCCTGTGTCCCTCAGTCATTGTGAGTCTTTGTCCTATGTTTTTGTTTCTTCAGTATGGATACAATGGTTGACCTCACATGAGGGGAACACACTTATACAGAACTTTAGAGTCCTAACAAGCCCTTCTGTTCCTACAGGAAATGTAAACTTAATTCTCTTCTATCAGATTATTTTTATGTTATGCTATAACAATTTTTTCTGAGAAGAGGATTGCTGTTCTATGTAAGCCTATACACATACAGAGACTCATAAATACGTTCTCCTATTTACTTTATTATATGTATTTATGGTGATTATTTCAAAGGAGGGTGAGGGAAGCATATTATTTCACATTGGGAAGTCTTGTTTTCGTTCTTGATTAGTGTACTAATCAAATTTTCTTTATTCTTTTCTGTAGCTAGCTGGAGTTGCTTTCCTTGCAGCCGGGCTTTGGGCATGGAGTGAAAAGGTAAGACTATGAGGGACTGTTGATGTTGCATTAACCAATTTCTTAAGTGTTTTTTAGCTTCCCATCCTCAAGAAACAATAAGAGTTAAAAACAACATCTGAGCTAAATTCTTAAGGAAAAAAATAATTTACTACTTTATAGAAAGTCCTAGTTTTTCCCTTCATAGGGATGGTTGTGTCTGTAGGGCGTATATACAATACACAGCACAGGTATAATATCCTCTTATATTTTGCTAGTTTAACCTTTTCTCTCCTTCAAAGCCCTGTGGTAGTCACCCCAGCATTACGCCATTATTTTTCCATTTGCCACTAGGAATGCGCTGGACTAAATATGTACAGGTATACAATTCAATCTACCAAGTGTGATAGCTGGAACCATCCATTATGTTGATAATGGTATGCTTTAGTCACATGTTTTTGACCTTTTTTTTTCTTAAAATTTCTTTCTGTTGGTAGCAACATTACTGTGACTTGCTTGTGATTGGAATTAAACAGGGTTTTGGAACTGCCAGTGCCTGGTGTATGTATTGTTGAGTTGCAATAATTGGTAGTGAAGGTGGGATATTTGTAGGGAAAAAAACGTGAGCCCTAATGTTGCAACTTCTGTTAACAAACTTTATTTTAGACTCTACTGTAGAGATGCAATACATCTATTTGGGTTATCTAGTCCAATTCCCTGCCAGTAAATCATCTTATTGTACACCTCCTAGAGTTTTATCTAGTCAAATTTTAAATGAGATGAGATTTCCCCCACTTGATGTGAGAGATTATTCCAAAGGCTAATAGTTGGGAAGCTTTTCTGATATTCAACCTAAATTTTCCCTTTCTTAGGCCTTGTCTACACTATGGGGGTAAATCGACCTAAGTTACGCAACTCCAGATACATGAATAACGTAGCTGGAGTCAGCGTAGCTTAGGTTGACTTACTGCGATGTCTACACCGCTCTGGGTCAACAGGAGACACTCTCCCGTTGACTTACTTTACGCGTCTTGTTCCGATGGAGTACTTTACGCGTCTTGTTCCACAGAGCGATCTGCGGTTGATCTAGCAGGTCTTCACTAGACTCGCTAAATCGACTCCCACTGCATCGATTGCTGTAGCATCGATCCCCAGTAAGTTTAGACATACCCTTAATTTCTTCCCATTACTCCTTAGGTGTGGTAGATAACTGAGATAACTGAGACATCCGAAGAAGTGAGGTTTTTACTCACGAAAGCTTATGCCCAAATAAATCTGTTAGTCTTTAAGGTGCCACCAGACTCCTTGTTGTTTTTGAGATATCTATTCCCCATCTCACTTCATATGCTGTTGAGGAACCGCTAAATAGATTTGAGAGCAAGGGCTGGAATTGGCAAAATTAAAACAGTATTGGGAGAAAAAGCACTTATTGGAATTTCAGTTACAGATTTGACCAACAACTGAAGTGAATTAGATCTGAGAAGGATGAGGCAAAAAAATCTTTTCCTTTTAATTGGTTAAAGAAAGACATGCCAAACATGCACATCTAAGAGCTTTTCTGTCTGTTTTCTCAATTCGCCTGTCTTCTCATATACAGTAGGCCAGGGTGATATTACTTAGAATCATGAAATGTAGGGCTGGAAGGGACCTCGGGAGGTGATTTATAGGCCCGGGGCTCCGGCTGCTGATGTGGTAGCGATTGTGGTAGTTGGGAGCCCCGGGCCCTTTAAATCGCGGCTGGGGTAGCAGTGGCGGCGGCCGGGAGCCTAGGAGCTCTGGCTGCTGCTGGGAGCCCCGGGCCCTTTTAAATTGCCGAGCTCCTTTTGGCACCCTCATCAGCAGCCCTGCCAGTACGGTCGTCTGTGTTCCGGCTCTTACCGGTATGCCATACCGGACCGGACCAGCTTATTTTCATCTCTGAATGATAGTCACCTTTTTCACAACTGCCTCACATTGTTGGCTTACATTCAGTGTGTGTAGGGTTACCATATGTCTGGATTTTCCCGGACATGTCCGACTTTTTGGCAATTCCCCCCGGATGGGGATTTGAGGACCAAAAAGCCGGACATGTCCGGGAAAATAGGGTGGGAGGGGTCGTGGGGCTTGGGTCCGGGCTGGAGCCGCTGGGGCCGGAGCCGCTGCGGCTGGGGGGGGCCGGACTGGGCCGTGCCTCCTCACGCCCCCCCAGCCCCAGCTTACCTGCTGCCTGCCTGCTTCAGGCTTCCCGCGAATCAAATGTTCGCGGGAAACAGAGGAGGGGGAAGAGCAGGGGGGGCGAAGCATTCAGGGGAAGGGGCGGAGCCGGGGCCCTATGGAGTGTCCTCTTTTTGGACACTTAAAATATGGTAACCCTAAATGTGTGATCTACTATAACTCTTACATACTTTGCTGCAAGTGCTACTGCCTAGTCAGTTATTCTCCATTTTTATATTTGTGTATTTGATTTTTGCCAGCCTATCTACTGGTTTTGTTAAGAAGTTTTCACTTCATTGGTGTTGGACAGACCTGCTCTCTAAGCAGCTACCTTGCTCAGTATGTGCATGTTAAATACAGACAAGTATGAAATGTTTGCTTCCCTTCTTAGTGATTATAGAAATCCATCTGAGCATTTTCAGGGGTCCAGCAGAAGCCATGTATGTAATGGGGCCTATTCTTCCTTCATTGTTTTGGAAAATGGAGAAAGTTTGAGCTAATTGTATTATAACATACAAGGTTTTTCCACTGTCAAAGAAATGCAAACCATTAATTTGTTTTGGATTTCTCCCTGTTCTGATAGGACTGTAGTATGAAACCTAGTTCAGTATATGAGACCATGCTACTTCCTGTTATGCATTTCCTAATCATTCTGTGAACATTGTAAAGATAAACAAATAACAAAACTTTCTTACCTAAAATCCATTTTCTCTGAATGATATGAGAGATTTTAATGTAATTAACACTTTTCTGTATATAAAACACAAACAGGTCTTGAAGAATCTGCATTCTCTTCTTACATTTAATTAAGCTCTTCCTATGCTATCCACAGTTTAAAAGAGGTGCCTAGTATTGTAATTACAGAAATGACTAACGCATAACCCTCTCCATCTGCCTGATGGCTTATACAACACACTGGGTTTGTTTTAAGGGAAACGTTTGCTAAATTTATATTCTTACATTGTAAATTGTTAGATCTCTTTAACAGTTCTGTAATTTTTGCACGTGGCATTCTGCTTTCCCACCAGTTAGTTTTTGCTGTTGATACTCCCAAATCTTGACAATGAGCAGTAAGATACCTAAAGTCTGTGGCTTAAACATTTGAATGACCCATAAACTGTGCATGTAGTTAGCTACAGATAAGATAAAACAACCAGTGAGAAAAACTAGTGTCTAAATCCCTTGATGTTACTGATATTCTTCAACTCTGGTGCAGATGAAGTGTGGATCTGTCCTGTCTACTTGTCTGTGCAGATAGAACTCTGAATGTACAGTAAAGAAACAACTCCATGAGCTATGATGCTGCAATAAACCGGGGAGATGAATTTATTTATAAAGCAGAACAGAGTTCACCAGCCATGGAGGTGGATGTGGGAAGAGCCAAGGAGAAGTTCTGAACTCTCCCCGAATGCAAACCGTTAATCTCATCCAAACGTATCTGGCTCCTGCATAATTCTGAATTCCTCACCTTTTTTTCCTCCAGACAGAATTAATTCAGCTTGATTCTTCAGCAGGGATTTTTATCATCTGGATTCATTCCTAATTTTTCTATCTGGGAGTGAGTGCCAGAGTCCAGCCTGTTCTACTTTTTTCCCAAAACAACCTTTGTTCACAGGAAAACCTCATCCAGGCAGATTGTGCTTGAGCTGACGACTGGCTGGAAGAAAAAATGAGTTCAAGGTGGGGAGAAATGAGTAGAACGGTTGTGGAAAGCTTCATTAGTGTGCAAACATGTTGCTACTAACTGATGGTTTCCAGTGCTCTGTGGTTGTTGTGCAAAAGCACTGTGTTATGCCAGAGTTTATGTTGGTGCTGCTTCCCCATTTGTGGGTTCTGATGAGTCAGGGCTTAAGAAAGAGTAACCCAAAAGGGCTGGAAATGGTAAATGTAGATTCCAGGAGTATCCATTGCAGAGAATGAGAACATGTCTCCAGTAAAAACCAGATGGACAACTCACTGCTTCATCTAGCAAGAACACTTTTTATATTCAACATTCATAATTATGAGAGAATCTATATCAGGGGTCGGCAACCTTTCAGAAGCGGTGTGCCGAGTCTTTCTTTCTTCACTCTAATTTAAGGTTTTGTGTGCCAGTAATACATTTTAACGTTTTTAGAAGGTCTCTTTCTACAAATCTATAATATATAACTAAATTATTGTTGTATATAAAGTAAATAAGGTTTTTAAAATGTTTAAGAAGCTTCATTTAAAATTAAATTTAAATGCAGCGCCCCCCCGGACCGGTGGCCAAGACCCAGGCAGTGTGAGTGCCACTGAAAATCAGCTTGTGTGCCGCCTTTGGCATGCGTGCCATAGGTTGCTTACCCCTGATCTATATATTCTCAGTGACTTTTTGGAATGGAGAATGCCCAGGCTATGATAATTGGTCAGAGTGAAGTCTAGCATGCAACTGCTTCTCTCTAGTTCTTGTACTTTTTGACAAATGCTGATTAAAAGTAAAGTTCTGTTAGCATGTTACTGCTGCCAACCTGGCAGCTCTAATTAGAGCCCAGTCTGGCAGTTTGTTTTTAAATTATAGAGGAAGGTGTAATAACTCTTAAATATCATTGGGGTGCTAGCCATGTCCAAAAAGCAGCAACCCATACCCACAAAATTTCCCTAAAGCAATATCCTTGCCTTTATATTTACATGCTTATTAGAGGATAGTATTGAATCTCTAAAATCCTCCTTTTGTGATGTGTATTTTTAGTTATTCCAGCACTGGTGTGTCTGTTGAATAGCAAGATGGCAATATACAATACTTTGACAGAAGTAGGCTGCTTCTGTGAATTATATTTCTGAATTCTCTGTGACCTCTCTTTTTACTATTGGATTTAGTTTGGTTGAGAGAACCACACATCTTCATTTCATGGCATAATTGCCAGCACTGCTTTGTAATGGGCACTCTATAACCTGTTGATCTTTACCCATTTTTTCAGTATAGAGTGAAAGACCGAGGTCTTCCTCAGTTTAGAAAGCTTCTTGTATTCATATTGCTGGTAACTTGTTGGAAACCTTCATGCTTTCACAAAGTTGGGGACCACATGGATATCACCAAAGATCGGTCTTGTACTCCCCACTTTTCTTTGTTCTGTCTCTCTTAATAAAACAATACTAACCATAGTTTGTCCCATGCTCTATTACTATATTAAAAATTATTGCAATTATGCTCTTATTTACTTTCATCCATCTAGAAAGATCATCTTTGTGTACATTTATAACTGGTTGTACACTTACATTTTGTATGTAATTTTTAGTTAATTTCTATTATGGTAGTGTTAAGAACCTCAGCACAGATCGGGCTTCATCATACTAAGTCCTATGCAAACACATAACAGAAAGATAGTCTCATAGACCTCATGTTCTAAGATTAGGCAAACTACAGTAAGCAAAGAGGAGGAGGATGAACAAGGATATAATAAAGACAGGTGCATATGCATAAGCTAGTCATAATGGTCAATGAAAGCCAAAACAATGTTGTATTTTGGAAGGGAAGTGTTGCTAAATAACCGTTATGTGTTCATGTCATCATATGGTCTCAAGGAACTATTAATTTGATGTAGGTTCCCCTGTAACACTGGCATAAGATTGTTTGTTAATACATTGCTTTCCCTCAGTTTGCAGCAAGATGTCCAAGGAGACACCCAAAGCATGGTAGGAGTCAAGATGAATAGAATTCAAGAGTACAGCAAAATGTCTTGAGGGGAAAACACCCATGTCTCTCAAGACAAAAACATCCCTCACAGATCTATCATCTGTAACCGGTTCCTTGGCAGCTGTGACATTGTTCAGGGCTTTAATGGGAAAAGGTGGTTCTGAAGCATGAAAGCTCCCTTGCCACACTGAGCATGCTAATTGTTTTGCTGTGGCCCTAGTGAAATCCTATGGCTTGAAGCTAGGTGGAAATGCTGTGATGGTTCCAGGCTTTTAGCACCATCTTGTGGTAGCCTGTTTAGTTGAAATCTCCATGAAGATTATTTTTCTGCAAAGCTAGTGCTCCATTGTGAGTTTTCTGTCACCTTTTCTCACCTCAACTCTGCTTCAACTAATTTGCTGTTCTGGATGAAGAAATGGTGTCTCTGATCAAACACCTATTTATAAACAATATTCCAGGAAAACCTTCTTGTGGTGTGCAAGCTTCCCCTAGGCCTAGAGGGTCACATGCAAAAGGTGTTCATGGTCCTTGTGTAACCAACACACCTTCTGTGTGTGGTGTTTTGTCCCATCTAGTGGCACAGAGACCACTTAGAGAGCAATTAATGAGTGTGCTCTACAGCCTTAGCTAACAGCCAGTTGGCTTTTTAGCTCATGTGGTGGTAGAGGCTCATGCACTAAGCTCCAGAGGGCCCAAGTTTGATCCCGCCCGCTGATGAGTAGGGTCTGTCAGCGTTACAAGTGGGGGCTTGTCTGGGATTTCAACTGGGAAGAGACTGAAGCTCGGGACGTGCTTCCTCAGCTAGGGGAAGTATGTAACCCACACATCTCCTGGGTGTGGTGTTCTGTCCCATTTAGTGGCACCAAGACCACTTAGAGAGCAATTAATGAGTCTGCTCTATGCCTTACCTAATAGCCAGTTGGCTTTTAGCTCATGTGGTAGAGGCTCATGCACTAAGCTCCAGAGGTCCGTTCGATCCTGCCTGCCCACGACCAGGGTCTGTCAGTGTTTCAAGTGGGACAGAACACCACACCCAGGAGGTGTGTGGGTTACACTTGCATGTAGACTTTTGTCTATGCACCTTTTTACTCTTGTTCCAGAATTTCCTCTAAAACATCAATGTGGCATTAGTGGCTCCTCCATGCTTAAATTTTTTTTTTTAAGTGCCTTTGCATTCCCTTTACTGAAAGCCTGCCCTAGCTCTAATTTGGCATAAGACAATAACAAAATAAAGTAGACTTTTTTTAAAATAAAGATTTCACACATTTGAAACTCTTCTCTCCCTGATAGTTTCAGCAGCTCTGCCTACACAAGGGTAAAAGAAAGCTTACGTTTGTGGAAAGTTGACATAAATGTGCATAGCTGCAGATTACCATGAATCAGAGTATTTTTTTTTTCTAGCTTTCTGTGTTTCCAGGTGTGAAATGGGAGAGGATTGGGCTCTGCCATGTCCTCCTGGGGTAATCTCACTGTCTCATTCCCTCTGGGGCAGAAAGGCATCACACTGCTCTCTTTCCCTCTGAGCTTCCCATCTCTTTTCCCTCCCACTCTGTCCCTTCTATTTTTTCTGGTTTGTTGGGTGACCGGTGGGGAGGCAGGTCAGGGAGCTGGAGAAGCTGAAGGTTAGGGAGGCCTGGTGTTTGGATGGCTTGACCTTTGTGGGACATATCTGTAGGTATAATACACAAATTAGCATGTGGAAGATTGCATATTAAAAATTTTCCGGAGAGTATTTCTGTGTTTATGATGGCTATTTGCAAATACATTGAATTAATAAGCAAGTAATGAATGCAGGAGGAGACAGAAGTAGAACTTGGTGGGGGGGGGTGGAATAAAATACAACTCCTGATCATGAAAAACGTGCTCATTTTGTTTACCTATTTTCCCGTGTGATTATTCTCTTTAGGGTGTATTATCTGATCTCACGAAGGTAACCCGTCTCCATGGCTTTGACCCGGTGGTACTTGTCTTGGTGGTTGGTGGAGTGATGTTCGTTCTGGGATTTGCTGGTTGCGTAGGAGCATTGAGGGAAAACATCTGCCTTCTGAAGTTTGTAAGTAACTTGGTGGTGCTGTATGGTGGCTCAGGGAAAAGAGAAGATGGTGTCATAGTTAAAGGAGAACTGCTAAGTGAAACCAGACATTTGAATTAAGTGCAGATGTGTGTGGTCAATGTTCCTGCTGACGTGGCTGGGGCTGGTATCCAGAACAGCAGTACATTTAGACTTACCTCTTTCTTTCTCTTACATTCTGGAATGTGTTCCAATACCAGAAGTCTCACTGCAACCCATAGCACTTGTAATGTCATAAAATTAGGCATTCTAGGATACCTTCAATGAAACAGGAAATGTTGAAAGGATTTCGTGGAAAGTTTTTATAATTTTTATTTTCTTAAGTTAAAATGCATTTCTCTTCTGAATGGTTGGTAGGTGGAACTGTAGGACCCCAGCACAGAAATCAATGCTTAACTCAGTTTTAATTTTAATGTTACACTGGATCCAGAAGCTAACTGCTAAATTGAGAAAAGAGTTGAAATAAAAATCCAGCTAGCTACCTTTGTCAGGACCATTATTTTCGTGTGTTGCCATCTCTGACTGGCTTATTCCTTTTTCATTATCTCTGCGAAATGGGACTATGACAGTGTCTATGTTCCCTGCAGACTTTAAGACGACCAAATAAGAAGATAACTCCACCTATTGTATTTTTTTCCCCACTGTGTTTAATTTAATTGGCCTTGTGTCTTGATCAGATTTGTACTTTGTGAGCATTTTACTGAAGTCCTTGTATCTACTTTTAATTGAGTTGAGACGTGGTTATATTTGAAATAAGAGTTTTATAATCTATGTCCTGTGACTTTATTTTGCAGTTCTGTGGAGCAATCGTACTTATATTTACATTGGAGCTGGCTGCGGCCGTGCTGGCTTTCTTGTTCCAGGACTGGGTGAGGGACCGGTTCAAGGAATTCTTTGAGAATAACATTAAATCCTACCGAGATGACATCGACCTACAGAACCTCATTGACTCATTGCAGAAAATTGTAAGTCATCTTTTCACTTGTCACATTTTCTTCCTCTTTTTCACCCTAAGAACAATCTTAGTCTTTTGAGGTTTTCCAGTTGTTGGGATAGCATTTCCTCACAGGAGACTAAAAAAAAATAATTACTTACGTTCTGCCTTCTTTGGACTGCCTTGATTTTACTCAATGGTGTCAATAGCTGTGTCCCTCCAGCAAAATGAAGATAACTCTCAATTCCCTAAAATAATTCTGCAACCAAGCAAACTGCATAGTTGTTGACTTAATTGTCACATTGTGTTTACATGGACTTCACTGTCCATGTACACGGACACAGTGCAGGACCTTTCTGTTTCAGCAACCTAGACCTCTACCACTTGAGCCAAAGGAGAATATCTCAAGTATAGTGGTATTAGGTCTTATCCTCAATGGGCCAGTCTCAAAGGGTACTTCTTCCCTACAGTTAGCCTGGGTGATCAACGCCTGGGTGCCCAGGTTAGCCTAGCTCAGGGGTGAGCAGCCATACTGCAAAGCCCTACCCGAATTACTGTGCACTCACCTGCATGTATTACGAGGACTTCTGGGGGGCATGTCCCATGGGCTTTTGTGCTTCAGTAAGCTGAGCTGCTCTCTGGTTCTTTCAAAATGATTTGTTGGAGAACTTCTCTGCCCTTCTGGGTATGTGGGAAGGCATTGCAGGCCTATCAGCACTCAAGTGATTTAGCTTGTGTGCTGCAAAGTTGGCAAGTTACCAGTCTCACTGAAAGCAGAACCTGGGCTCTAACCCTGAGCCAGCTAGCCCAGATTGAAAGCACCACTATACTCAGATGAGAGGTCTGTGTGTATGGCAGGAGGGGAGTTAAGAGCAACACCTGAGCAAGAGCCCAGGTCACTCTGTGCAGTGAAGGCCTATCCTAAAGAGTAAGACAATTCTACTAATGGAGTGGTGCTAACATTCCATCCATTAGATGGCATGCATGCACACACCAGGATATTACAAGGCCTACAGTAATAATTGAGTGATGGTTTCTAGATCAGTTGGCCAACAGCTTCTTACCATAATGTAAGTATGCAAGGCAAAGAACACCTCTAATGCTACCCATGTGCTCAGTAAGCACTTCATCAGGGACAAACTTTCTAATAGAACTTCAAAGAATAACCATTGTGTATGTGATCTCACACAGGCTGTGGTGAAGGGGGTCAACTTCCTCTGTCCAGTGTTTTTCCCCCATGGCACAGAAGATTTTTACAGGCAATTTCTTTCCATCCTTTATGGGCTAAGAACCAGAAATCAGTCTCTTAGCATTGCTACCAGTTTCTGAATCCTTGGCAATCTTGCACTTGCCTTCCACTTGGATGGTTGATGCAAGTAGCGCCAGCAACAGCTTCCCCTGCCCCAATGCTCTTTTTGTCCATTCCTCCAGGTGTTAACCACTAGATGTAGAAGTGGTTAAAGACTAGCAGAAAGACTATCTTTCTGCTAGCTCAGATAGTCATGTAGACCCTTGGAGATGTTCTAATTCTCAGATTTCTACACTGGCAGATGCTATAGGCAATTTGTGCAATGTGGTGCTCTTTAGTAGACTCGATTAGGTCACACAGCTCATTCTTACCTGCTCGCAATGAGTTCTCAGCATCAGTAAATGTCTCAGCTCAGCATACTATTTTCATGTTTCCTGGTGTTGCTATTGATCCAGGTTTAATGCAATGAGACAGGCTAATGTGCTAAGCTGATTTACAGGTGAACCCTTATTAAATGCTCTTAATAAAAATAAAAGGCTAAATTTCCCCGAAAGAGAGTTCCACGGCTAGATTATCAGGCTAAGAAATGTGGAAATAACAAAGCCAGAAAATCTCTGAATAAGCCTCACTCACCCACAGTGGGTAACAGTTAGGCAACAGGGAAACAACTTGACATCCATCACTAAATGTAGCTCTGTAAGATTAAGGAAACTCTTCAAGAAGGTACTGCCGTATTCTTTCAGTGCCACGTTGAAATCTGTCTTCTAACTAGGCATGGGCCGACTTGCAGTGCCTTCAATATGTGACTCCGGGATAGTGAAAGAGCTTTTTGTATACAGCTCATTGCACTGACTAATGCAAAGTCATATTACCTTGTGGCTTACATTTGAGCAGGGCTTCTCCTTTATAGCCTTACCTTACTTGCACAGACTGATTGCACCTACTAAAACTGCCAAGGCTTCTAGCAGTGATTTTTTTTGAGGGGGGGGGGAGGGCAGGGGGAGAGTGGGAAGGGAGAAGTGGTGGATGAAAAGGCGGAAATCCACTTACTGTTGTCTCCAAGTTTTTATGTACAACCTCTGAACCATATTGATATAAGGAAGTAGAAGGAAGGTATTGACCCAGAATAATTTTTAGCAGTTCCCCCCCCCTCCTTCTAGCCACTATTGCAAACCTTTTTTCCTCCAAAGTTTAATGCATTTTTTCTGAATTGCCCAAATTATTGTGACACTATCCATTCTAAAACAAACTTATTTTCCAGTGTTGAGTGTTGGATGTTGTTTAGTTTTTTCTCTCTAATGGAACACAGTATATTTGGTCCACACTTCCCATAACATTTTAAAATTATAATGGAGACTTTTGAAAATGTCTTGTTTCATTAACCAGGCTATTTTCTCTGGATCAGTAAATTTGTTTGTTTGATTCTTTGTCTTGTTAGCTCAAATCATGTATATATCTTTTTGGTGAAAACATTTCAGGAATGTGTTTCTGATTAAGCTTTGTGAATTTTGTGAGTTTTGTATACAAATTTCACAGTAAAATGGGAATGGGAAAATCCTACTTTGTAGTGGAGATTTTAAGTGTTTAATTACAGTTTCATAAACACTGACATTTTGGGAAAGTTCAATCTCTGTAACATTTTTCTATATTTGCTTATGGCAAATGCTTGTGTAACTGGTCTGTAGAGGGTGGGACAAAGTTGTACCCCATAACTATTCAAAATTCGCCAGCTGTAGTTTTGCTTTGTTTAACAGTACCTCATCTAAAGTATATAAACACATAAATTGCTTGATTAATATGAGAATGAAGCCCTCTTTATATAAAATGAGTACAGCATAAGTGGACAGTGGAAGTGCATGGTTTCCATAATGTATCTACCTGAAACCGGTGGGATCAACTCATAGAAGTGAAGTGATATTTCATTTTCTGAGGCCAAGTCTGTCCATAGCCTTTCTTCTGATTCTACCATTTAGAGTGCCAGTTGTGATGACGTTGATGTCTGTCTCCAGGAACTGGATGGAAGTTACAATTTTAACAGATACCATGGTCTAGGGCAATGGTTTTCAAACTGCGGGTCACAACCCAGTACTGGGTTGCGGAATGTAAGGCACTGGGTCATGGCAGTTCCAGTCAGTACCGCCAACCGGGCCGTTAAAAGTTAAAAGTCCCATTAAAAGTTCTGTCAGTGCTGCCCGGCTAAGGCAGGCTAGTCTCTACCTGTTCTGACACCGCACTGCACCCCAGAAGCGGCCAGCAGGAGGTCCGGATCCTAGGCGGGGAGGCAATGGGGCTGCCCCCACTCCGAGCACTGGCTCCCAGCCAATGGGAGCTGAGGGGGGGAGGGGGGGGCAGTGATGCCTGCAGGCAAGAGCCACACAGAGCTGCTTGTGTGCCTCTGCCTAGGAGCTGGACGTGCAACTGGCCGCTTCCGGGGTGCAGCACGGTCTGCGGTGCCAGGACAGGCAGGAAGCCTGCATTAGCACTCCTGCTGCTCTGCTGACTGGGAGCTGCCCAAGATAAGACTGTGCCCCAACCCCTTGCCCCAGCTCTGAGCCCCTCCCAAACCCCTCATCCCCAGCTCCGTTGCGTCACAGGCATCAACAATTTTCTTCAACTGGATTGCCAGAAAAAAAGTTTGAAAACCACTTGTCTAGGGTAAGCAACATGGAGCTGGATATTAGGGACTTCAGAATTCTAATTCTTGCTTGGCCATTGATTTACTGTGTGGCCTTAGAAGAGTCACTTTACCTCTCTGCCTCAGTTTCTCTATCTGTTAAACTGAGCTGATAACACTTGTCTATCTCACAGGACTATTATGAAGATGATTTTCTTTATACAGCACTTCTAAGTTTTTCTTCTTCTGTTGCAGAACCATTGCTGTGGTGCTCAGGGGCCAGATGACTGGGATCTTAACATTTACTTCAACTGCAGTACTGAAAGCAAAAGTCGTGAGAAGTGTGGGGTCCCCTTTTCCTGCTGTGTACCTGATCCTGCTGTGAGTTGTTTCCTGGCTTTGTATTTCTATATTATTATTATTGGAGAATTTTGAAGGGATGTGCTTCCTGAATATGCTGTAATGTCTAGGGTTTTAAGAAGAAGGGAAATAAAGATTGGGAGGAAGAGAGAGTTTATTTTCCAGCATATTTTCTCCTTTTCTATGTGTTTGGGAGTGGGAAGAGTATGAAAAGACCTAAAGAAAAAGAACTGGAAGAGTAAATGAAGATGATGGAGGGGAGAGCCTCTGAGAATGTATGCTACATTTGCTCCTATCTTGCTGGAGAATCTGTCTCGCTGTACATTGCTATTCCAGATTCCGCAGAGATCCAAAGAAACCTTAGTCTATTGCTGAAACACATTGGTGTCAGAACTAGAGAAACTATTTTTGTACCACCGAAGCCCGTGGATGTTGGGTTTAAGTATTGTTTTGTTAGAAATCCATTGTTTCCTTGAGTTCCTGGTCTCTTGTTCCCAAAGCTGATGGGATCTGGGAGTTCTGTCTGAGCAGTGTGCTCAGCCCCTAGGGTGAAGGGTCTTAAAACTGTTCTATACCCACCCTTGTGTTAGATACAATAGCAAGGACTCACTGGCTGTATTGATAAAATGAGTAATCATATTGGCCTCAGTGGGATTTATGCGCTTTAGTGCTTTGCTGGATTCGGGCCCAAAAGCAGTTGGTCTGGCTTGCTTGCCTGGCAGTGACATGAACCTTGAGTTGGGCATGAGGACTGTAGGATCTCAGTGCTTCAGAAGAGATTTGAAGGACGCCCCTCTCTCAAGGTTTGTGTTTTTGTGTGTATGGGTTTTTTATTTTTTTTTAATAGCAGTCTGAGTTAGTACCACTCAGTTTGATTTCATCACAAACTGTTGTTTCTGGCATTCGCTACTCTGAAACACCTCTTTGCACAAGATGCTATTTTTGGCATTTAATTCCTATAACTGCAAATTATGGTAAATTGACAACTATAATTATGAAGCAAACAGGTTTTCATTTTTATTTTATTTTTCTTTGCTTTCCTCTTAACAAAACTGTGGTCTTGAAATGAATCTCAGAATTGCTCACACACACAAGTATCTCTTTATCTATTGAGGCCACAAGTAATTTCAGTAGTCTCTGTGCTCTGTAAGGCTTAGAGTTCAGTACGTTTCAATATCCAGTCCTATTTTTAGGGTTTGTTAGAATTTTAGAGTCTGGTTACTTGGTAGACTTTTGAACTAAATGCACTAAAAATAATCCAAGTCAAATAGCTTGTGATATGTAGGAGTCCAGCTATTAGCTGATCAAAATCATAAACATGCCACCAAAAGGGGGAAGAAAGGGAGCACGACTGGCTTACAAAAATCCCCTGCATTCTTGTGTAAATAAATAGGCTGGGTTTTTTTTTTTTTTTTTTAATCCCTTCTTCAAAATGTTCAACTGTCGTTGTGTGGGATTTCAGCCACACAACTCCATAAAGCTGGTTGAAGTCAGTTGGCTGAAGTGACACAAGTTTTTGAAGGTGTAGGTATTTGGTCGTTAGCCTTTCAAGAAGTAGGTGTTGGAGATGTCTGCAGAATAGTGATACAGCTAAGGGGGCTGTAATTTATTATGTTGGGTAGGCCTTGGTGATAAAAACTGAGAGGTGGAAGAAACAAGTTTGTAAGGATATGTGGGGCCTATAAAGTAATGGGATAACACATCACATGCTGAAGTACATGATCATGGTCTTATAAAAAGATAAGCATTAAAAAAAAATGAAATTGTGGAGCATGAACAGAAGACAGAAAAGTTCCCTCAGTTGGTGTTGGTTGTAGTTTGATCATGAGTCTTCTAACAGATAAACATCTTCCTGTCAACTCAAGCTGGTAGGATTATATTAATATTTCTAACTTTTTTCCCCCCCTCCCAGCAAAAGGTTGTGAATACGCAATGTGGATATGACATCAGAGCACAGGTGAGCATCTGCTACCCACAGTGTTGGTGTTTCTAGCTGATGGTTGTTCAGATGTGTGATCTAACATACTGATAAATTAGATTGGGTCACTCTTTTAAAAAAAACTTAAATATTTTGGCCTATCTTTTAAATTTGAGAAACTAAGAGTAATAGTCCAATGTTTATTCAGGACCTATAACATAGATCAGCAAGGCAAAACTATGAGAACAAATAACTGTATGCTGGTCTATACCATCACCTGCATGGAAGCTGCTCTGGTCGTCAGAGGGTCTGCCTGTACTAGGGACAGGGGGAGAGAGACCATGGATATGTTCAGGAGCGGCGCCAGGGTTTTTGGCGCCCTAGACAGGGGTCCTTCCGTGCTCCTGGTCGTCGTCGGCAATTCTGCGGCGGGGGGGTCCTTCCGCGCTCCCGGTCTTCGTGGCACTTCGGCGGCGGGTCCCGGAGCACGGAAGGACCCCCCGCCGCTGAATTGCCGCCCCCCCAAATCCTGGTGCCCTAGGCGACCGCCTAGGTCGCCTAAATGGAAGTGTCGGCCCTGGATGTGTTTCATCGGTGGGAGGTAGTGAGGTGGGGCTGTTATCACTGAAAGAAGAGACTCAAAGTTCAAGTGTATTCTAAATAAGTTTCTATGCTTCTGGTTATTTATCTGAACTTTTGAAGGGTGTTCCTAATTAATAGTCCATTTGCAGCAAGAAACATGTACTGATTCATGAAACTGAAGACGATCTGAGTTACAAGTCTCTAGTTCTTGTACTTCTGGATTCCTTTTAAAAATACTAGTTCTGTCAACTACAGACCCATACAAATAAATGTTGGCTGCATAGTTATAGTAAATATAAGTGGAAAAAGTAACATGCTTTTTCTTCCCCCTCTCTCTACACAGAAGAAAAACCAATGGGACAATTTAATTTTCACCAAGGGTTGTATCCCTGCTCTTGAAGCTTGGCTACCCCGAAACATCTACATTGTTGCAGGAGCCTTCATAGCTATCTCATTGCTGCAGGTCAGTGGTTTCATTCTTCTACTGCTACAGTAAAAGCTTCAGCCTCTCATCTGCCTAATATATGGTAGTTGGAGGAAAATAATATTTTAGAAAATTTGAAATCCTTGTGTTTTGTGAGAACAGTATGGGAAAAATTTAGCACTGTGTTTTGCAGGATGAAAGTGTATGTGGTTTTATTTTAATTTCTTAGCTTTGTGAAATGTTAACTCTCTTTAAGGGGAAAAAATGCATGGTTTTTAGGTTTTTTAGTCACTAGTAAGGACAAGGCTGCAAATTGGGGAGATGTTGTAACCTCTCATTTCCATAGACCTATGTTCAAGCTTGCCTTTGTCACAAGTTAAAGTGGGTTTGCTGGTCTCATTGCATTTTCATGCCCCTTTTCGTCAATATCCTAAAACCACCACATGATCTGGTACCAATGAACCTATTTGGTAATCTGTGCTCAGGAGAAGCCCAGGACTAGAACAGTAGCAATGTCTGATCTTTAACTGGCTCATCTTTGAGATCATAGAATAGGGTTACCATACGTCTGGATTTTCCCGGACATGTCCAGCTTTTTGGTCCTCAAGTCCCCGTCTGGGGGGAATTGCCAAAAAGCCGAACATGTCCGGGAAAATACTAGTCCCCTGCTTACCTTAGAGCGGCTCCGGCAGGCTGCGAGCTGCAGGCGGATTCCCCCAGACATCTCAGCTTTGTGTAGCTGAAGAGCCGAGCTGCCCGAGCGCTACCGGTTTCACTGTTTGCCGGGCAGCCCCCAGACCTCCAGACCCTGCGCCCCTGGCCGGGCGCTTCCCCAGCGCAGCCGGAGCCCAGGAGGGGAAGCGCCCGGCCGGGGGCGCAGGGTCTGGAGGTCTGGGGGCTGCCCAGCAAACAGTGAAGCCGGTAGTGCTCGGGCAGCTGTTTCGCGTGGCTGGGAGGGAGGAGGGGGAATGCGGGGCGCTCAGGGGAGGGGGGCGGAGTTGGGGTGGGGCCGGAGGGGCGGGGCCAGGTCCCCGTGGAGTGTCCTTTTTTTTTTTTTTTTTTAATTTTTAAATATGGTAACCCTATCATAGAAGTCTTCAGTGACTAGGTCTTCTCCTTAAATCAGTAAATTATTTTACACTGCATGATGTACCCACAATGAAATGTAATCGGAGAAAACTGAATTTTCAAAAATGGCCCAACTTTTTGTGAAAAACTTAAGTTTTACTGCTTTTGGGGGGGGGAGGGGGGAAACACATGCACACGCACAACCTTTTCCCAAAATTTTCAACCAAAACCAGTTTTCATTGAAACATTGCAAAAGTTTGAATGTTGGGGGTGGGTGGGTGTTTAATTTGAAAAAGGCCATTTCATGGCAATTTTTTTGAAATTCAGTTTTGGTGAAAGGCTCAAAATGATATGATATTTTTCACACTAAAGTTTGTGGTAAATGTTTCATCCCTTTGGCACAGTTAAATGTGAATTAAACCTACAAAAAGCTTTCAAAGTGGAATATTGACTGAAAGAGAGAGAGAGAGGGTCAGGCTATATGATGATCAAAGGGATGGAACGCAAGGCATATGAGCAAAGACTGAAGGAACTGAGTACGTTTAGTTTGGAAAAGAGGAAATTGAGGAGGGATGTGATAGTGGTTTTCAAATACTTGAAAGGCTGCCCTAAAAAAAGATGGAGAAGTTTTTTTTTTTTTTTTTCTTTCTTATCACAGAGGGCAGGACAAAGGACAGTGTGTTCAAACTACTGCATAGCAGTTTTAGATTAAATTCTCAGGAAAAACTTTCTAACTTTAAGAACAGTAGGACAATGGAACAGACTGCCTACGGAGGTTGTGGAAGCTCCTACACTGGAGGTTTTCAAAATGAGGTTGGACAGCCATCTGTCTTGGATGGATTAGACACAACAAATCCTGCATTTTGGCAGAGGGTTAGACTGAGTAGATGACCCTTGGGGTCCCTTCTAACACTCTGATTTTAAAAATCTTCAAGTTGAATCACTGAACTGGGCAGAAAAATGGAAATGCCTGAAATGTTTAAAAGTAACTGAAGTAATGGGAGAGTGTTAGACCTAAAGGAACCTAGCTGTGCCTGGCTCCCCACTCGGACACACAGAAGTCATGTGATTGTTCCCAGCCCTGTAGAAGTGTTGCATGAAAGCATCTATTTTTGTTTTATGGGCCAGATTATGTCACCCTTATTCCCCCCCCCCCCTTTCCCCCCGGTAGTGTGTAGGGTGAGAAGTCCCTGAGCCTGCAAATATCTTAAGCATAACTTCACTCACATGAGTAGTTTCATTAACTTTAATGGGAACACTCATTTGAGAAGAGTTATACATGTGCTTAAGTGTTTGCAGAATTGGAGCCTGACTAAGGGTAGCAGAATCTGGCCCTTTACTCAGAGCAGCCTCACAACTTGGTAATCTTCTGAATGTGTGTTTTCCCTCCCAGACTGCTTACAGGTTTGTGTCTTTTTGTGTTTGTCTTTAGATTTTTGGGATTTTCCTGGCCAGGTCACTGATTTCGGATATTGAAGTTGTAAAGGCAGGTCATCTTTTCTGAAGACTAAAGCAGACACCAGCTGTGAAGACAAATACATTTCACTGCTATTGATTTGACATCAAGGTGAAAAGAAATTGACAAACACACAGGCCTTGGAGTGCTCCAGGTTTTAAAAGCCTTATTTTTGTATCAGCCAGATGTTACTCTGCTTCTGCTTTTGCTGCAGGCTGGTGCAGAAAGAACACACTGCTTCCTCCCCCAGATCCCCTTCTCCCCAATGCAACATCTGTTTCTTTTTCCAAGGGGAAGACTAGATTTAAACCTCTTTTGATGTGGAAGAGATTCCCCTAAATCTATGAGGGATGGACTAAAAGACTCCAGTAAGCAGAAATGGAAACTGCTATAAACCAGTCGCTTACCTTGAAGAACTTGCTGCTGTAAGGGCTGTTTTGTCTTGGCTCCCAGCTACTATCACTGGAGGTTGCAAATGTTGCATTCATTATGTGGATCATAGCTGCATCTGTTATGGTGTTTGTCATGGTCTTAGAAGAGAGTGTCCTAAAGATCGACAATGATCACGTTGATGGAATAGGCAAAGGAGGTTACTTAATGTCTATTCTCAAAACATCGTAGTCTGTTCTCGAAACACCAAGCATTTCATTGTGTCCTATTTGAATGGAAGGCCCAGGTAGTTATGTCATTGGATTATTGGGAGTCATGATAGTCTTGGTATTAGAGACCGTAAAAAAATGCCATTAAGTCTCCAGTTGTCAGATGGAACCTCAGCTGTGCAGAAGTAGGGAATGTCCCTATATGACCTGAGCTAATGTAGATATTTCAGTAGGGACTCAAATGCTTGAGTAACAGAAGCCACTTATTTTGAAAGTTCTTGCCAACATAAGTTTCTCAAGAGGGAGTAATTTAATTATATATTGATAGCATATTTGGAAATCTTTTCATGAGGGTAGATGGATTCTCTGATGCTATTTCTCCTTTTTAGATGTTTGTAAATAGTTTTAATTTATAGAGGAGAAAATCTCACCGTTTGCTTACACTGTTTTGTAGAGCAATTACTTCAAAAAGAGTGATATCTGCTGGGCTGAAGGCATTTAAAAATGCTGCTTGGTACAAGAGATCACTGAATATGTGATTGTATCCGTCAAGAGCTCTCTAGTCTGCCATCTGTTCTCTTTCACACCTGTCCACTGCACTGTTGTTTATCATCTTCTTTGACTGTTGATTGCTATATTAGGACTAAAAAGAAATTAAAGGACAAGCTAAACTTTGTTAAGCCTTTGATTCAGGATTTTCCAGGCTAGTCAAAAGCAAATATAACGTACATAAGAGTCTAATGGAGCACTGGAGTTACTAGCATTAATTTATTTAAAAAAATCTTTTGAATGCATTGTTGTTTCCCATTCCATTTGTCCTTTGCTGCTCAGACTTTCCTGCAAAAATGCCAGATCCAGTCATGCTGAAGAAATGCTCAGAGCTGCGTCTCCAGAATAATGCTGTAGGCCCTGGCCCAAAGTGGGTGCAGCCCTCATTGAAATCAAATGGGTGTGGCTCCTGTTTACACCAGGGATGAAATTAAGGCCTTATGACGTTTCCTGCAAACTGGGGTGCTTAAGACCTGATCCAAAGTCCTCGGAGGCCAATGAAAAGACTCCCATTGACTTCAGTGTCCTTTGGATCAGGCCTGTAGTGCTAGTCCAAACCATTCTTCTGCTCTTCTGTGAAATCAAAAGTCAGAATAGAATTAACTGTAAAAGCTGAAAGGTGTGATACGTAATAAGAAACTCTTTTAAATAGTTGTTGCAGTGTCAATTTTACTATGGGTTATTTACTAACAAACTGTTCACTGCTTGTAATGGCACCCTATTTTTCAGGGATAGCAGTTACTTGCAGTGCCTAACGTAGTGTAAATTCTAGTAAAGTATATATTTTTGTAATTATATTTTACTACATTAATGCTTGTGTTTCCAAAGTGTTATGCTTTCTTAGAATGCCAAACTTCTGAATATATCTTTTTATATACATGTGTGTAACATTTTATGTGTTATCTAAGTATTAATGAGCAATTCACTGGAAGAAAGGTGATACCAATAGGGATCTGTACCAGCCTTTCTTCCATGAAAGCTAGAAGAAGGCTGCTTTGACATTCTGTGAAACATTTCATGGACAATGCTATATTTTGTATGTGGCTTTCAGCTGAGCTTTCATGTTTCTTTTTCTGGCCAATGACTGAGACAGAACGGGAAAAGGAAGCCTGTCTAAGAATGGCTGATTTCTTCAGAGACCGACAAAGAATACAGTGTCTATTGTATTCTTCTGCAAGACCTGAAGGTAAAATCTCCAGGCATAGCTGTGACTTTTTTTTTTTCTTTGATCTGCAACAAGAAGAAAAACAGTAAGTAGGAGAAGCTGGAAAGAGGGCAAAAGAAGCTTCTTCTACAGAGCCCTGAAACTGAAGTCTGTGCCACATGTTTGCTGTATCTATTGCAGCGGCAACAGGCTCAAACTCTCTGCTGATATTTGCATTTAGTAGGTAGCACAGCAATGTCTATCGTTATTGCTTAAAGTTCTTCCACTAAGAACGTTGGTTTGCAGTGCCAGACAACCCAAGGCGTAAAGCCACATCAACCAATTTATGCTTGTGACCTGTGACGATACAGTAATCCATTTAGTTTGAAAACACTACATTCTGTTTGTGAAATGCACCTGAATTGCATCTCGGGAATAGATTTCACTATTCTCTGAACTTGTGAAGAGGTAGCACTTTCCTGAAAGACCAGTAAAACCAGCAGGCCATTTCTTTAGCTGGGGAAAATCAACATAGCTCCACTAGCTTCACTGGAACTACCCCAACACCAGCGGAGGATCTGGGCTGGAGTAAGAAGACCTCTCTGTAGTTCTCTGTATCATCAGGTTTCTTCTGCTTGCTTGATGGCAAATTAGTGTCTAACTCCTCTTGTCTTATCAATCATGTCTTCTATGCAAAACAAAATTAATCTGAAGTGTAGCTTTTCACAATTAGATGCTTATTCCTGTTGCTTTTACTCCTGTTAACACTTAAAGTTAATAGCAGCTATTTACAACACTGCTTCAGTGCTCTTGTAAATAATGCTTAACGCCTCAAGAAAGCAGAGAATAGGGTTTATATCATTTTTCACTTCTTTCTGCTTTTGAATTTTCAAAAGTACCTAAATCCCACATATAAAAGCAACTTGGGGGACTTAGGAGCCTAAGTGTATTTAAAAGTGACTTTCAATATGGGAGTTTGGCTCCTAAGTCACTTAGGTACTTCTGGAAATTTTGTCCCCAGCCATTTTAAAGAGCAGTTCTGCTGGCAGTGGCAAATATAGTTAGCAAAAACTAGATCCCTGAATTGATGTGAAACATGAACATTTGCCCGTTGCTTATTAAACACATCTTTAAACAGAACATCCTTTATGAACCTGCAGTGCCTTAATTGCTAGAGATATGTAGGTTCTGATTGCCTGAGTCCTGCAAAGCTAACCAGCTAACTGCTTCTGCTGCCTCTAAGGCTCCTAATGAGGAGCAACTCAAATCATTCCACCACCAAACTTCATAACTGCTGAAGTTGAGATCTCAATGGTAGCATTCAGACCAAGTCCACCACACTACAATAGAAACAAGTTCTTTTTTTGTTTTTTGTTTTTTTAATGAAGATATCAGATGTAAACTCTAACTTATATGACCTGAGCTTGAGAGACAAAAGCAGAACTAATGGACTGGGCTATGAGAGGACATTTAATTTCTAGGAAGTGAGTGCTTTTATTTCTGGGATACTTTATCTTTATTTACTTTTTCACCATTGAGTGACAGTGATAATAGGCTTTGGTCTCCGCTTAATGCACCTGGATTCAGACACACAACTGCTTACGGATCAAGATGAGAATAGATGCTTTTGTGAGCCCCAGACTGAGCAAAGCACACAGAAGTGTATCCTCTTCCCAAGGGAGAACCCCTCTCCTGGGAATCTGAACAATCCCCACCCCATGTTGCAATGATCTTTTCTACAGCACAAGAAGGCTGAAGTGTGCTCCCACCAGAGTCTGTCAAGGCTGCTCCACAACTCAGCCTGAGCTGTATGTTAAGCGGCTCCCCTCTCTTCCAGAAGCTAGGCATGTAGCTTTAACAGTGTTTCTAATCCACAAAAGGATGGATCAAACTCTGCTCCCCAATTGTTTTCCTTGGAGTTTGGTTTCCTTTTCTTCCAATACCTTTGTCTTCTAAGCCTTAAAATAAATTGACTTAATATATCAAACCTCATGTCTCTCATCACTGGAGCCGTGTTTTCTTTTCAGCTCTGAGACTTGTTGGACCCAATCATTTTGTAAATTGAGTGTTTTTATTGCTGAGGTTTAAATTCTTTATTGTTGCTTTTGATGACCAGCACAAACAAATGAGATGGTGCCTTTAGCATAGGTGCTTTTGGTATGTTTTTATATCGAGACCTTTTTAATTCATTCTTATGTTGCACTCCTAGCTGCCAAATGTTGCTTATGATTTATTGCACAGATGCGTTCTGTATGGTCTGCTTCAAAGACTGTAATTGAGTGAGTGTTGAAAGCCAGTGTCAAAGTGTTTCAAGGAGAACTGTAAAATGCGTTGTAGAGAAACAGTGGCAGAGTCCCTAAAATTTGTATAAATAAAGTTAATTTTCATTACATGTATCACATTCTTTTTAATTTTATTTTTTTTAAGAAAGGACTTTAACGCCTCTCTGCCATGACACTTCTGGTCTGTTAATTTCAGCACTTGATGATATTGCACATTCCTAGGCTTCTGAGACCAGCTACATGGACAATTTAAAAAAATATATATACCTAATTTGAAAAATGTCTTCTATACACCTCTACCTCGATATAACACTGTCCTCGGGAGCCAAAAAAATCTTACGACATTATAGGTGAAACCGCGTTATATCGAACTTGCTTTGATCCACCGGAGTGTGCAGCCCCTCCCTCCCCCCCCACCCCCCCGGAGCACTGCTTTACCGTGTTATATCCGAATTCATGTTATATTGGGTCGCGTTATATAGGGGTAGCGGTGTACTTGGAATTTATTGAAAAATTTAAACCATGTTTAAACAATAAATCCTTCACCAGGAGGCGGAAGGGTCTAGGGATAAAAATGAAGATATCTGAAATTGAATTTGAAAGCATTAAATTGAGACAATATTTTGTATTTCAGCCCTTGCTGAAAGGTGAGTTGTACACGTGTGTGTTACAAATATGCACAAACCTCTATTAATTCCTTGTGTGTAATGAGTCTTCTATGCTGTTGCACCTTGGTTTCTATCAACATTCCATTCGATTTGAATTGTCTTCCTTTACTTAATGACTAGCTTTTCTGATGTCACATAGCTGACATTTAAATATTTTTTACAAGAATATTCATGCAGCCATGTAAGATTCCTATTATAGAAAACTGACTGAATATGCCCCTTGGTGTAGAGATTGAATATTTGAAATCATTCAGAACTAAACTTTTTTGGCCCTGATTCTCCTTTTAGAATACATCTAGACTGGAGTTTAGAGCCCTATTCTAATCTGAGTTGAGAGACTGCTAATTAGCTGGAGTTGACGAACACCTTTGTAAAGGTTTAATCTAAATATTCCACAAATGTTTGTTCTAGGGTACAAACGTTTGATTTACTCTGAGGGATGCGCCAATTTACAACAGTTTCTTGCAGGCTGTCCATGAACTGCTCCAGAATCTTCATAATGACCTGGACTATGGAGATTCCCTCTCTCACCCTGGATGTGTCCCCTGTGCCAGGGATTCAGAGAAGGCCAGGGTAGGTCTGTTCATGGCAGCCCTAGAGTGTGCAGGAGCTGAGTTCTTCCCCAGCCCCTTACAGCACAGTCCTGGCCCTTTATGCTTCTGATCTGGCAAGTGGGGGGCAGAATCTGTCCCATGTCACCTTATAAAGTCTGACATGTTGCAGTGTCTCTTGGAGCATCTAATGCAGCTGTAGATGCTAGGCCCCTCTCAGTTGGTGCAGTCAGTAATGTAGTGAAGCATACTGCAAGGAGTGTGGGGACGGTCCTTTCCTCAGGAACAATACACATAACCACGGAAGATTTAAAACAAAACACAACCTAGTATATACATGCAGTTGCTGAAATTTATTCCTTAAAAAGACATTTGGTCATGCATCATGATCAGGAAAGCCGCTGTAATTAGGGAGGAAAACAGAATCTGAGACCATCAGAGCTACTCTGGTGCTGTAACGGAGCCTTTAAAGGAATGTAAATACAGCTTACTTCCATTTAGGGCTACTTTACTCTGCCAGACCAGCATAAAGGGATCTTATTTTAAAATGAGAATAATTTTAATGAGTCACGTAATGAGTCAGCAGACATTCTGAAAGCCCAGAGAGTGGGAACTGCTCCATCCATCTCACACAATGTGCATGTCAAGACTCTCGGCTCCGAGGCCTCCTGCCAACACTGCCTCAGCAGAGGACTCTGTGCATGTTGGGAAGAAAAAATTGCAGTGGTCCTGGCCCACTTCCCAAACAGATTACCACAGCAGCCAGGGTGTAAGACTGGGGGGGGAGGAGGACCCCCTTGCTGCACCTGTCTCTCCAGAGGGCTGAAGGGCACATCTTGCCACTAGTGCTAGGCCTGAGGGGAATGACGGGGGAGGGGAAGAAGGATCTTTATTGCAGTTTCTATGGAGGGAGGAGGCAGCTCCTTGCCCCTGTCCCCGCCATAGGGGGTGTCCCTGCTGTAGTGTAGCTACGGTCCTGGATTGCCTGTGGGTACATGCAACTGCAGTAACACGGTGGGGGTGCAAACTAGATGTACAAATGGATATACAGTGTTGCATGTACAGTTTCGAAAATGAGGCCCTACATGTCAATGAGAGCTGTAGCCTGTGCTGTGTTTAATAGCATTTAGTGGACTTCAATGTGATAAATATGGTGGCTGTTGGCAAAAGATAACGTTTTCTTAAATACCCCAGCTGCCAGAGAAAGCAGCACCAACAGCTATGGAGAAACGAAGCTGGTGTTTTGACTCTCATCTCTCAGTATCTGGAGGGTCATTACAGCCTGCTTGACCACATTTGCATTGCTATGGCTACAAAGTTTTTCCAAGGTTTCTTTAAAGTTGTCCTCTTCTACTTCTTGTTTCAAATCACCTGAAGGGAGATCAAACACAAACTTTAATGGCATGCATTAGTCCATACTCTGAAGGAGTTACTGTACGTCCTTACGTTATAGTAACTCCT